ACAGTATAATAAGGCATAAAAAGTCATAGTATAGTAAGGCATAAAAAGTCACAGTATAATAAGGCATAAAAAGTCATAGTATGGTATGACATAAAAAGTCATAAAAGTGACATAGTATAGTAAGGCATAAAAAGTCATAAAAACGACATAGTATAGTAAGGTATAAAAAGTCACCAAAACTACATAGTATAGCAAGGCATAAAAAGTCATAAAAATGTCATAGTATAGTAAGGCATAAAAAATCATAGTATAGTATGATCTAAAAAGTGATAAAAACGTCATAGTATAGTAAGGCATAAAAAGTCATAAAAAACGTCATAGTATAGTAAGGCATAAAAAGTCATAAAATAGTCACAGTACAGCAAGGCATAAAAAGTCATAGTATAGTATGGCCTAAAAAGTCATAAAAATGTCATAGTATAGTAAGGCATAAAAAGTCATAAAAACGACATAGTATAGTAAGGCATAAAAAGTCATAGTATAGTAAGGCATAAAAAGTCACAAAAACGTCATAGTAGAGCAAGGCATAAAAAGTCATAGTATAGTATGATCTAAAAAGTCATAAAAACGTCATAGTATAGTAAGGCAAAAAAAGTCATAAAAATGACATAGTATAGTAAGGCATAAAAAGTCATAAAAACGACATAGTATAGTAAGGCATAAAAAGTCATAAAACATCACAGTATAGTATGGCAAAAAAAGTCATAAAAACGACATAGTATAGTAAGGCATAAAAAGTCATAGTATAGTAAGGCATAAAAAGTCATAAAAATGACATAGCATAGTAAGGCATAAAAAGTCATAGTATAGTAAGGCATAAAAAGTCATAAAACCGTCAAAGTATTGTAAGGCATAAAAAGTCACAAAACGACATAGTATATTAAGGCACAAAAAGTCATAAAAACGTCATAGTATAACGAGGCATAAAAAGTCATAAAAACATCATAGTATAGTAAGGCATAAAAAGTCATAGTATAGTATGATCTAAAAGTGATAAAAACGTCATAGTATAGTAAGGCATAAAAAGTCATAAAAAAGTCATAGTATAGCAAGGCATAAAAATGTCAAGAAACATCATAGTATATGTATGTACAGCATATGTATGTGTATGTATGTATGTATAATAAGGGATAAAAACTTCAAAAAACGTCATGGTATACTAAGGCATATAAATGTCAAAAAACGTCATAGTATAGTAAGAACTAAAAATGTGAAAAAAAATCATATTAAAGCATGGCATTAAAATTTCCTAATATAGTAAGGCATAAAAACATCAAAAAACATCATCTTAACCAAGGAAGAAAAATGTCAAGAACCATCATAGTATAGTTAGGCATAAAAACATCATAGCATCATAGGTTGAGTATGCATTTATGTATAAATGACCTATCTTTCTCTTCTCTTGTGTTTCATTTCCTTTTGAAGATGTTCAGTGTGCTTTTGTGTTTGCAGGTTTGTTCAAAAAATAAATAAAGTTGATAAATAAAGTTGTGTAGATAATCTGTTCAATTCTCATCGTCTGACTGCTTATATTTCTTACCCCATTAGACTTTTCACAGAGAAGATTGCAAGAAACTACTCAAATAAGACAACAGCTGTAATAAATCTTTTTGTTTTCCATGATAATTTGAGGTATTGGTACAGTTTTTGTTAAATAAATGAGATCATCACTGAGAACATAAACAGCGTGCAAACAGAGCCTCTTGTTTATCCACCTCAGAAAGATAATTAAGATACAATCTCATTTCAGCANGGCATAAAAAGTCATAAAATAGTCACAGTACAGCAAGGCAAACATAACAGAACATAAACAGCGTGCAAACAGAGCCTCTTGTTTATCCACCTCAGAAAGATAATTAAGATACAATCTCATTTCAGCAGAAAGGAAGTGGCCTTGTGGGAAATGTGGTTATGATTTTCACATACTCAGACAAAGATAAGAAGTGGTGTTGCCTCTGGTACAATATGGTTTTTATGGACAACCAGAGAGGACCCACTGAGATGTTTCACTTCAACATGTCAAAATACTAAAGAATTACAGATCGCTTTGATGAAATTAGCACATCAGAAACGTCGTTCTCACAACTCTTAATGCTGATGTTCGTCAGATAGAATAACAGACCTCTCACTCACTTTGATACAGTCCTGCATTTGGCGTCTAAGTCTTGCAGCTCAGGTGAAAAGATTTAATTCATTTGTGACAATGTTGAAGTTACTGACTGACTTTGCGTTTAATGTTATATTTAATGTTTTGAGAACTGCATTTGGAGTGGTGAGAATGACGTTTCTGTTGTGAGAATTGCATCAAAGCGATTGAGAAAAACACCACAGAACTGACTATTACTGCAGAGTGAGGGAGTATTGATTACCTGTCTCTGTGAGTTGATTATATGGACGAGGGATATGTATCCTGGCTGACCCATGTGTTGAATGGGCAAACCCTCCCACTGCCATATTGGAGCTTGTCGTAAGTATTCAAGCAGCTCTTCTCTTTTCCAGCGCACATCACACGGTAACTAGAGGAGAAATATGTGAACGTTAAGTTATTAACTAAAACTTAATCAGACTGGTTTATAATTACAACCAGATAGAGAAGAGTCAGTTACCAGGTAGGAGAGAGCGCAGTGAGAGGGGCTCATGGGTTGTGTAATCGACTTGTATCGCCTGTCTTCTGCTTGCTGCATCCATTTCTGCAGCTCTGCAGCGCTGGCACATATGAACACCTTGGTATCCACCATTGGACCTGGATGAAAGAGGGAACAACATGAATCATGTGTTTTACCATATCTTTAGCTGAACTAGGTAATTTCCACTGACTCACCGCTGATCTCAAACATGTGCGGTGAATGTGACGTGTCAGGGTCCAAGGAGACGGCCTTGAAGGTGAGTCCGGAGAGAGGGAGGATGCCCTGTGAGGGAAGAGAAGAGAGAGAGAAAGAAAAAAAAAAATCATGGCTGTCATTGTGCAAGTCAGCACCATGACTGAGTGTTTCCACCTTGACCTGCAATGAACCAATGGCCGTCTCATTAAAACAGATTCAGGGTTTCATACATCACAAACCTCAGGAACCAATCCTGTCAACTTGTGGGGACGGGGGGTGGGGTGGGGCTAAATAAACCTGACACCTTGTCAGTACAGAGAGAGAGAATTAGCATTAGCATAGCCACTAACACTGTGTCAGCCACTGCCAGTTACAAGCTAACAAACATCATAAACAAATAAAAGATGCTAATTACACTAACCAGTCTGAAAAGATTCCAGCTATGCTAACCATTCTAAAAAATATGCTAACTATGCTAACTGTTCTGAAAAGATGCTAATGGTTCTGATCCGTCTGCTAGTCTCTGGTTCTGGTCTCAACAGACTCCTCCTCTGAGTCTGGGTCTGACTGAGGCTCAAACATGTGGCTGAGTCTCTCTGATGTTTCCTCCTCTCACCATCTTGATGCTCTCTGCTCTTTCACCTGTCCACCTGGAGCCAGCAGGTGGTGGGCGGGGCTTAAGGCCTGATCCAGGTTTCTCAATCAGGAAGTGAGAGTAGATGAGCTTCAGACCCAGTTTTTATGTGTGAAAACATGTTAAACTAAACATGAATCACAGCAGAGGATTTTAAAACATCTGAAAATGTTGTGTCATGTTCAGTTTTATTTGACGTTTCTGAACAGTTTTCTTTTCACCTGATAGATGAAGTCCTGTCGAGCGTGGTCCACAGAGAGGATCAGCAGGTGAAATGAAAACAACACCAGGAAGTGTTCGCTGATTTCCTGCAGAGACAAACATGATGAAGCATCAACACTCGACTCAGCAGATCATGAATTCAACAGTTTGATCAGGAGCTCCCATCTTTTCTTTTCTTTGTTTTCCTTTTTCAACCTCATTTTATTCTTCAGTCACTGTATCTGCTGTTTTTAGTGGTATTATTGGTTTCTGAGCTGTATCAAATGTTTTACTTTTACTTTAGAGAAAGTGTGGAACTTGTCACTGTTGTTATTAATTGTACTGGTAGTTTTCCTGTTGTTTGTATTTATTGTTATTTTCTTGTTTGCTTTTTTGTTTTTGATTTGAATTCACATTATTGTTTTGCATTATGATGTCATGTTTACTTTACTTCTTGGCTGATGGGGATCCAAATAAATAAATAAATCTGTCAATATAAAACAGGTGTTTTACTATTTTTCAACAAAAGATGTCGCACAGAAGTTTGTTTTTTAACGCTCAGAGTCCAACAACCTGAGAACTAGGTTAAGTTAGGTTGGGTTACTTTATTTGTACCTGTAGGTACAACCTGGTTTGCAGTAAAAACTGTCATCAGTTTTACACACACACATTTAACACACAGCAAAGACAGCACCATGTGCACAAGGTAAATAAAAATGAAAGAATTAATTAATTAAACATCGCTTCTATGCAGTGTTACTACAGATTACTCATATGAGTGATGGCTTTAGAGAATTGCTGCTCTTTAAGGACAGATTTAGACTTTGTAACCATGACAAAAAATAAAATCAACAAACTATAAAAAGTGTTTTTTAGGATTTGCTGCTCAGGGGATTTTCAAATGATCTTTCATTATTAGGTTTAGGATGATGAGTCCCAGCCGACTGTTACCTGTGTGTATTTGTTGTAGAGAGACGCCAGGGAGGAGTGGATCACCTCTCCATACATGTGGGCAGGTTGACCCTCCCAGTCTCTGATTGGCTGCTGGGAGTAGATCCTGTGGCACAGCTCATCTCTGCTCCGGCCCCACAGCGCCACCTGTAGACACAGACTGCAACATCAGCCCACATCTGTTCATTATTATTTGACACATTTATTTTTACACATGTAAAAAATAACTGTCACTGCTCCCATCAGTATGAACATGGTTCACATTACCTTGAGTCAGGCATTACACAGCAAACTTAAGTGTGATTCACTGGTGCAGTTGTTGTTGTTGTTTGAGCAAAATGTTGCACAGCGAGGAGAGTATGAGATATAAATTTGAAAACAGTGTTTCTGAAGGATTTGTCTGAAGACAATTTAATTTCTCAGTTCAGTGGAAAAAAAGTTTGTGTGGTAGTGTTTCCTCCCTCCTTTATTTCCTGTAAAGTTTGAATCACACCAAAGAGGGAATGCGGCATCTCTCGCCTTTGTCATGGAAATTCCCACAGTGTGTGTGCATATGTGTGTGTGTGTTCGTGTGTTTGTTTGTACAGTGTGTGTGTACAGTGTGTCTGGCCTCAACACAAATAACAGCACTGAGTGGAAACTGTTGATATACATGTGATGCACATCTCACCACACTCTGCTCTAGCACCAGCAAAATGTTTAACTTCGCACTTTGTGAACTTCACACTGTGATCTTGTTGTGAGAAGTGCACAACTGAAGTTTCCACTTGCAACTGTCCTGCACAACACACACACACACACACACACACACACACACACACGCACGCAAACACATGTTGACCTCTTGTTCCAAGTGTCGCATTGAAGGGTATCGTGGTGGCGGAGGCGGTGGCGGAGGTGGTAGTGGTTGCTGCTCATCTCTGCTGCTCCTCACTGTCAGCTGAAGCCTGGTTTCTCCCAGACTCCACACCCTGAATAAACACACACACACACACACACACACACGCATGAAAAAAAATTAATAAGACATCACTGCAGCAGCTCAGTGGTTAGTTTAAAGATGTCACGTAGCAGGGATGTGGTTTCTGGTCCCATGAGTCTCTATGCGTGTGTGTGTGCTTGAACTGGCTGCAGCCTTCAGTTAAAAACCTCTGATGTGTCGATTTCTACATTATTTCTTAAATTCACCTTTTAAAGGGTTCTTTCATATAACATAATACCCAAGTGTATTATATCGCAATGGTCAGAACAATCTCAGCTATAATTTGGCCAAAACTGAAAATGTTTTTAAATTCTTCAAATATTTCGTGAAACAAAGTGTTTACTGTTGTGGATGAATTGTTTTCGGTGCTTCAAATGGGGTTTACCAAAGTCTAAAGGTTCATAAAAAATAATGCAATGTATGAGTAAAATAGTAGAAAAATGAATAGTAAATGCTTTAAATGTAATTTAAAATGTCACTCAACTTTAACCGTATTTTAAAGGCTAAGAGTCATGTATGATCTCACAAGAATACGTAAGGGAAAGGGGAGAGTCTACAGATTCTAAGAACATTTAAACCACATTTCTACAATGAAGTATCACAAAGATATTAATAGAAACATCCATTGACAAAAATAAGCAATAAAAGATATCACAGTTTCAATGACGGTGTCCTGGAACCCCGCCTCCAATCAGCAGCTAGACATAATCTGCTTACAGTAGTTACAGCAGAGACAGACCCACCTGCTGACCCTTCACCACCGTGTTCTGCAGCCTTTGTCTGTTACAGACAGAAGCTTCATACCAACATGCTAACTGTTCGCAGGGTCTGAACATGTGCTGTGGAGCAAAGAGACTAAATGAAGCATTGTAGCAACAGTCGGTAAGAGTACGATCCCACCACAATTAACTTTTACCAAATTGAGAATTCTCAGTATCTCTAACACTTCACCCACAGGACTGAAAATGAATCATGAGCGAGATGATTTCACACTCACACTGAAACAGCTTTGAAGAGAGATCGTATCATGTCATTTGTCACTTTGACTTGCGTCATTGTTTGTGTTTTGTGTTTTCCCTTAATCAATGTGTTTCCTTATTGATAATCATCCTGCTGTGGGAATAAAGGCTATAAATGCTGTGGCTTAAGCTGCTGATGCTACATTCTTGTCCCCATGACCATAAAAATAAATATTGACTGAATTAAATAATTGTGGATGGTGGTGGCGACATGTTGGAGAATCTTCTCTCTCTTTCAGAAGTGTCACTGCACCACATATTCAGTTTGGGTGGCATGATACTATTGGTGCACAAATATAATTTCCTGTTGGTGCAATTGCAGTTTTTTTTGTTTGTTTTTCAGACATGAACAATTACTTTATATAGAATAAAGGCCCAGCTGTGGATTTACATGTACATTTGTATCCCAGGACACGCCTCTCACATCTCTGAGTGTGAATTTGTACGATGCTCATCTTCGTCCATGTCATAAAACACTAATACGAGTGGCCTGAAGTAGTAATCAATAAACAGCCACACATAAGGACTGGTAGTTACTGTTGTGATTAGCCTCTGCTAATCCCTCAGCCTGGGAGCCAGTGGAGATTTGTCCCGCCTTGACTCTGCAGTAAACCCCTCTCCATGCTGCAGCCATTGTCTTATAATAATCTGCTAATCACATCAGTGCAGCATCACTGAGTTCCCAAGTTCATGTTGACTAAATAGGAGCCAATTAGTTGTCCTGCCTTGTTGTCGTGATGGAGGGAAATCATATGCATGTTCTCTGTCGTTCTGCAGGTGGTTCTTTATATTTCTTCACTACAGAACCTGGAAGTTTCTTCTGTGTGAAGTTACATCCTGTTAGCGTGCGACGACGAGCATGTGGCGTGTAAATGCTGATGTGAACACTCCGCAGCTCTGACACAGGTTCTACTCAGGAGGCGACCTCCTATCATCTGTTTGGCAATTTTTTAGCCCCAAAAACGTGACACATTAAACACCTAAGAACACCACACAGGGTCGGAAGAGAAGCTGCTGAAAGGACGGTGCAATTTTCACTTCATGACACAGCCACCGCTTCCTCCTCTAGAACTCACTGATACACAAAACCACATTTTGAAAAAACCCAAACGAGACTCTTGTTCTAAAGCTATGATGACAAGATTACTGAATCTCATTCTGGAGGAGGTAAAGCTGGTATCCCCTTCTTTTTTTCCATTGTAATGTTTTGTTCCAGGATCAAAACACAGTCAGAAGCATGTACATTTTCCACTGGCACTTTTTCTATTTTTTTTTGTAACTTCAAACTGTGACTGTGTTCGTGTCTTACCCTAAATTGTCTCCGGAGAGTTCCAGGAGCTCGATCTCGTCGGGGCCCACCTCGTCCACTCCAGTATGCCTCTGGGTCACACTGCAGCATCCCATGTTGGACGGGGAGTCTTGTCCTTGTCTCAGCTCCTAGTCCACACACTGAGCACCATCTGCCCAGGCAGTCATCCCCACCGTGTGTGTGCCACACTAAAACCAAAGAGATAACATAAAAACGGGGGCTGGTTGGGTCCAAAAGAGGATATTGAGTGCTGGAGAAGGGGAGGGAGAGGAGGAGGAGGAAAGGGGGGGGGGTGCAGCTAAGCTCTAGTTCCCCCTTTTCTCCAGCGTGTAGAGATTTCCAAAAAGCCCCGAGAAGGAAAGATGTAGAAGCTTTTGAAGAGGAATTGGAGATAAAAGTTTTTGTCGAGCTGCAGCGTTGTAGTTGTTCCTTCCTTCCTGTCGGTTGGCTGTCTGCACTGAGCTGAGCAGCTTCCTCAGTTTGGTGATTTACACTCTGAGCCACACAGGGAACCTGCTGAAGCTTCAGCATGACAAAGAAAAAAAGAAAAAAGAAAAAAGAAAAAAGAAAAAAGAAAAAAGAAAAAAGAAGCGTCATTTGACCAGAATATCATTCAGAGACGAGCTGACACCTTCCTCATGCTGATGTCAGGCTGAAACGTGGACGAAGCAAACGTCCTGTTAGGAAAGATGGGAGCATGCCGTGTTTACATGCACAGAGCCTGAACGTGGGTAATTATGAGTTATGAAACAGAGGGGTGAAGGGCTGCAGTCAAAACAACAAGCCACAACAACTGTAGTGTGGAGCCATGTGTTGATCTTCCTGGTTAGAGTTACAGTAAGTTGGAGGCAGGGTTTCTTCAGAATCACCTCTGACTGTTTCTGAGCTTTTCTCCTGCGTCTGTGAAGTGACACAACTTGATGTAAGACGACGGTTTTTCCATCTGACACTTGCTGTTGATTCAAGGATGAAGCTCATGTGCTTCAGTTACAGAAAACAAATCCACCAGGACGGGAGGAAAAAGTTGCACCACTTCACAATAAGACTAAACTCGTAAAGGATTTATAAATGGTTTGTAATTAGGTTATTAATTAGGTTGTTAACACTTTATAAATCATAAATAAACAAGTTATTATACATTAATCTTACTAATGCTTCACTACCATTTATAACTGTTTATCTAATTTCTAAATTTCTAAATCTAATAAATTGTTAAATTCTTTATCTACAAACTCTATCTCCCAGAAATAAATTCTTTTATCTAATCAATCAGTTTAATAAACAACAAAATGAGTAATAAACTTTTGACAATTATGGATTATTTCTCCCTGCTACTGAATAAATAATTATTTGTGTATTTATTTATGTACCCCCTGTGTTATTTTAGTTATTTACTTATTTTATTTTATTTAAAATATATATATATATATTAGATTTTCATTCATTTATTTTTCACCTGTTCTCCTTATATCAGTTAAATTATGATTTCTATGTGCTGTTGTTTTACCTGATTTATTATATGTGTCATTTGATTAATAAAAAAAATAATTATAATTGGTAAAAAGGATTATTGCCAATAGGTTGTAAAAATGAGATGAAGAAACATGAAGATGGATGGAGTCTGTCAAGAATCTGGTCATGTGATATGATCATGTGATCTGCCGTTATTTGATCTGTTAAATGAAACTTTTTGACCATTAAGATGCTGTTGTTCATTGTTAGTAACCGAACAAACACGTGATGGAGCAGCAGGTCACCGTTGCCTGTTTTATCTAATGTGTTATAACAGCTTATCAATGATTTATAAAGTGTCAACAAGCTGATTAATAAACTAGTTATAAACCATTCATAAATCATTTATAAGGGGAGTCTGATTAGATGAAGCTGTTTTTAAACAGAAATTAAAGATGATCTTTTCTTACAGAACAACATGGAAATGAAACCAGTTATTGGTTCTTTATTGCAACGTTAAACATTTCTTCTTCTTCTCTGAAAATCAAGCAGCTCCAGGTGTCTGTCCTCTGTGTGGATTTATCGTCTCACAGCTGTTTGCTCACATGCTTCACACTTCCTCTTTCCTCACAAACACTAAACTCTCCGTCTCCTCTCTGAGCTCCTCCTCACCCACTTCCTCTCCTCCTTCTCGTGCGTCCTCACGCACCGGAGGTCTGGCGCGAGGAGGGAACGGCCTCGTCTCGAGCGCCAGCGACAACAGCTTCGGGTCGTCCGCGGCCTTCGGGTGGTGACGCAAAGTGCACGTCGTGAGCTTGAGATGGACCCGAGGCCCAGGGGTCTTACTCCTCACTGTCTGTAAGCTGCTGTGTGAATGTGATGGTCTCTGCCCTGATGATGAGTTTTGAAAGAGAGGCGAGGCGGCGGTGGAAGTGGAGCGATGGAGGCCAGACTTTGAACTGCCCCGTCCTTCACCGCTCCCTGAGACGTTAGCAGCAGGGGACGCTGGGGACGCATTTTTACCCTCAACTCCCGACTTACACCTCCTGGCTTCAGTCTTCTGGGTCTTTTTGGTGGTTTTTCTCTTGTTGCAGGTCGGCTCTGACCCCGGAGGTGAAGCTCCACTGTAGAGCAGCACAAACTCCCTCTGACCGGACAAAGGAAGGATCCTCTGCCGGAGACGACACTTGTTGAAGATCTCCAGAGTCAAATCTAGAGAAGAGCGTGAAAGAGAAACAGCAGATTTTAAAAAAAACAAAACAAACACACGGGTGTTGTCACACATCAGCCTGTTACTGCAAAGTTCAACATTTGATAAAGGGAACTACAACTGTGAAGAGTTTCTGGTGTGTGAAATGTAATTAGATGGTGGTGGTGGTGATGATGATGATGATGATACCCATCGTCTCCACAACAGTGCTGGGTATCACCTCCTTCAGGACCTTGCAGTTCGTGTGGAGAGCTGGGTTACAGTTCATCTCCAGCAGCCACACCTGTGAGGACCAACAGAGAGGACGTTGTTCACTCACACGCGTTGACCTCTGACCTCTGTTCAGACGCTCGCACGCCGCCTCACCCACCTTGAAGCCCTCGTCCACCATGAAGTCGCAGCCAATCAGGTCGAAGAGGCCGAGGCGGCGGTCTAACTTGGATTTGACCGCAAAGAAGCACTGCGTCATGATCTGCTGCATCCGCCTCTGATGCAGGAAGAGGGAGAAAACAACCTGTCAGCTGATCGTTAGGCTTCAGAGTGACACGCAGAATACTACAGATACGTCCTCCAGCAGCCACTTCAGAGGTCTGCAGCTCTAGAGGTTGTATTTCTTTAAGACGGAGAGATGATTTATTTGACTGAGTGATTTCTGGCTTAAAGCAGCATTAATTGACTTTGTTGGCCACTTGGGGGCAGCAGAACAAACTAAACCTGACATGGCTTTGTGTCATTCATTTGGAGTTCTGTTTGTGGCCACCTGATGAATGGAAGTCCAGTTTTCACTCATCTCAGCTGATTTGTACGAAGGAGTATTTGGGTCACATTGAGGAAAAAAAAAAAAATCTGAAATTTCAAGAATAAAGTCGTGATTTTGAGAATAAAATCATAATATTTCAAGAAGAAAAAATGGATAATATTATGAGAATAAAGTTGTAATATTATGAGAATTCAAAATGTAAAATTCAAATATTACAAGCAGCCAATAAAACAAGTGACAGGACAGTGATGATGATGATGATGATGATGATGATGATGATGATGATGATGATGATGATGATGATGATGATGGGCCAAAAGATGAAGTATCTCCTCATATCTCTCATAAAATTACGACTTTATTCTTGAAATTTCAGATTCTTCTTTTTCTTCAATGTGGTCCTAATACATCTCCAGTAACTCCTGAGGAAAACATCTGGATCTTTAGCAGCTAAATGCTCCTCTGTGTTCCCCAGGTGTTGTTTGGTGCTGGGCTGATGTGCAGTGGGTTTACCAGAGCTGGAAACGAGGCTGATAGGAGATTAAAAAAACGACAAGCTATAGGAAGCAAACAATCTCAGTAAAGAGGAGCTAAAACTGTTGATTATTCATTATTATTATTTTAATTTATTTATATGTGATTATTTTAAGTTGAATTAAGCAACAAAACTTCACTCAGTTTGTTTTTGTTTGTCTGTCTCTGGTTTCTACTCAGATTTATGGAGGTTTATTTGCAGGGATGTTTTCAGGTCTGATGTGAGTTTCAGATGTTTTTGTTTTTGGTACAAAATGTGAGTGTTGGATGTTGATATTTGACGACTTGCTAAGTGATCTTATTCATCAGAGATCAGTTTGAGTGTTTTGATACGATATATGAATAAATGTTTGCAGTAATATGAGGCATGAGGAGTGAAAGAAATTTGGAGACGCCTGATTTAAAGTTTAATGTAATTTCGAGACCTTCTTAAGGCAACACTGGATTACACTGTAGCACTGTTGCTATAGTAACAGTGTAGTATCTTTCATCACACCACAGTACATGGGTTGTTAGAGCAGCTTTTGACTTGAAAGTGATTTAACATTGCACTTCCATGAAGTTGAGGGATTCGTGAGACTTTTGAAGATTGATTGACTTTTGAGATTTTTAAAAGAAAGGATCAAACTGAAGCGGCAGAGGAAGAGTTGTCCTGACTGAACACTGGATTTAACATGATGCAACTTGACATCATCTTTCATTAGAGCTTCTCAGCCTGGTTTCTGTTTGTTTTTTTACTTTAACCTTCATGTACAGTAGGACAGAGGGGAACAGGCTGATGTGTAACCAAGCATGAAAACAAATCTGTGACTCTCAGCTGAGACCAGTCTTCCTCTGAGCGTGCTCAGTTTGACTTCTGTACAGACTGAGCAGGTTTCTGTTGCACCAAACAGCCGCACTGTGGTTAATTCTTTAAACTTCAAAGTCTGTCACTATCAAGGTTTGAGGTTTCATTCTGACGTGTGCAGAAGCTAAAAATGTGTGCACAGTGTGTAGTTTGTTATAGTAACAGGTGCTATGGATAGAAATGACTGCCAAACAGCAAGTGTGATATTTCATTGAAGCATCGAGATGATGCTTCCTCAGACCGCGATGACATCACCCAAAACTGAACCACAGCCTCAATTAGCAGCGAGCACCAACAACCATCATTAAAAATGGTAATTGGTCCCCGAGAGCTACAACACAGCAGCACTCACTGCGAAGGCGCCCAGCACCCAGTCCCTGGGCAGACCCTTGGCAACGCGAAACCTGTCGTTGACGTAGGTGTTGAAGTTCTCCATGGACCACACCGTGTCCTCCTTCAGCTGGCTGTACAGCGGGTTCTTCTTCTGCATGTACTGGGGACGGACAGCAGGGGGACCAGAGACACACGGAGCGGTCAGTGGACGGAGCCACAGCTGATGATTTATACAACTCATTTTTTTTATTTTATTTTCAAATATGTTTTGTTGAGCTTGTTTTCATAATAAAAAAGAATTACAAAATGATTTTAATATATATCCACATTTATAAAAACATATGATATGATGGTATAAGGATTGTCCAAGGTGAACAAGTGACAGAAAAATAAATAAAGACATAAAAACAAATAAAAAGTACACAAGCAATTACGTATTTACGTAAGCGAAAATAAATACAACTGTTTTTTCTTAACTTATTTTAATTATTTATTATTTCTATGTTGTTACTTTAATGTTATTCGATCTCTCTTTACATTAATGTTTTTAATATTTTTCATTTTACATCAAGGTTTTAACATGTTTTATGTTCATTTTATGTCTTAAGGTGCTATATAAAAAAGTGTATTATTATCATTATTATTATTATTATTGCTGTGAAGAGGGATGTGGGATACAAACAACTCTGGAGGGAAACCTTAATTAGAAACTGCTTTTATTCAGTTTCATCATTATAATTACATTACAATAATTTTGTATTGTATGAGTTTGTTTTAACCATGGAAATCCTTCATATGCAGTTTCCATATAATATTGGATGATATAATATTGGACTGAAATTAGGACCTAGAGAATCATAACTAAATTACCAGTTTAGTAATTAATTAAAGACTGTGAATGACTGACAGAGCACCTTAAAACTCTGAAAATGAACTTAAGATGAAAACAGTGACGTCAGTATTTAGCTTAAATCTTCTTTTAGCGGTGTGCCGTCAAAATATTGCACAATAACAAAAAGAAAGACCATCATCCCCCTGGATATTTCGACAGGGCGCGCGCAGTGTTGGGGTCTTACCTGATTGGTCAGGTGGGCGGAGAGGTTGTTGGAGCTGGGGTCGTAGAGGTCGCAGGTCAGTCGCACATAACCGTGGCGGAAGAAGACCATGTAAGGTGCGGTGCAGGCGATCAGCAGGAAAGAGCGAACGTCAAACTTCTTCCCCTTCAGCAGCAGCGGGCTCTGAATGTACCTGAGGGCAAAATGAAATAAATCAGTAAGTCGACCCTCTATGGAAATTAAAAGATGTTGACAAGTATTTATGCTTCTTTTTCATTTGCTCCTTTCAAATACTGTATGTTCTTATTCTTCAGGGTCGAAGGTGAAACTGCAGTTTTGGTTTCAGGATTAAACGTCTCTGTATGAGTCTGTTGGTGCTCGTTAAACTCGTCCAGACTTAGTGAACATGATGATTGTGACACAATATTCATTTTAAATTGACCCACTGTTGGACGATGCGAGCCTGAGGCCGGCAGTGACGCATCCTCCTGTGGGCCTGACTCTCCTCCAGGTGCTGCAGCTTCAGTCTGAAGGCGGTCAACTCCTCCTGGCTCTTCAGCAGAAAGATCCCTCTGCCCTGGTTCAGACCCGTGGGTTTACAGATCCACATGCAACCCTCGTTGTTCCTCACACCTGGTCCTAGTCACAAAGATACATCAGGTAAATGATATTATAAAAATACATAAACATAAAGTCCTGCTCTGTTTAGAGATGTTGTGAATGAGACTTAATGTTTGATGTGCTCCACGGTTTCCTGTTTTAAAATACAGTGTTGTTGTTAATCTCTAGCTTTGTTAAGATCTTGGTTCCTCTTTTATTCTCTGGATGAATCTGCTGTTTGTGAAATTACTTCATCTACTTTCCACCAGTGTTTAAATCTGAAGTGTGAAACCTCTGCAGAACATTGTGCCTGCAAAAAACCCACGATGCAATTCTTCACCTTTGCTAGATGCATAAATTAGCATTATGTAGTAGTGAAGCTTTAAATCTACTCGAGTCCTGCAGTATATATAATATATACAGTATAGATAAAATGATGCTCTGACTTCTGTCTGATGAGGACTTTATGTTTGCAAATAACACTTTTGTAAATGTACTTAGGAAACATTATGATGCAGGACTATGATGCTTTATTTAAAAGCACATTTCATCCCAGGTGAAAGCACAATGTGCTGCACGAAGTGTGAGTTATCATCGCGGAAGCTGAAAACTATGTGGACGGTGTAAAGATAAAACAAACAAATTATGTATGAATTAAAAACCATTATAAAAATATATAATAAATATATAATAATTAAGACCAGTCTGTCGAAAACAGGAGAGAGAATTATTTTTTGATCTTCTTACATTTCTGTTTCTTCTTCTCTTCCACAGATTCACCCAGAAATCTAAACCACCTGTCTGAGTCTTTTCTCCTGTTGACTTAGTGATAACCGTGTTTGTCATAACCTATGCGCCGGTTATCGTAACGCTGAACCAAGTGAATCATTTCACACTCCGTCTGCAGCACTAATGACAAAACGTCTGCCGGTTTCTGTGTTAGAACATTAAATGTATCTCATTCAGTCCTGCAGCAGCTCTACATCAGATCCTGTTGAGTCTCTGTCTCTGTGTTTGTGCCTCAGCCCTGCCCTCTGCTGACTCATCTCTATGGAAACAGCATGTTCCCCTGGTGATTTTATCAGGGCCTTATGGGAGGTGAAGTGCATTATTTTCCAACGTCCTCAACCTCTTGATTAAACAATCACCAAGGCAACTGTTGTCTTAACACCCACGAGCACAAACTGTTCTGTGGCTTCTCATTGTTGGATGCACATCAGGTCACGTTTGATTTATCTTATATTGAACACTAACAAAACACAGATCCAGTTAAACCAGTGTCGTGTTTGCTTTTGCTTCAGGATGCAAATGTGTCAGAGATGAATGTGAGTTTGGGGATTGTACCCTCCTGCTGGGCGAAGAAGGCGTCTCTCTCTTCCCTCACGTCCATGCGGAAGGTGGTGGGAATGAACTCTTCCATTTTCAGCCTCCTGTAAAGTGTAACACAACAAGGAGGAGCCACAGATGAACGTGTGTGGGTGTGTGTTTGTGTGTGTGTGTGTGTGTGTGTGTGTGTGTGTGTGTGTGTATGTGTCCTCAGCTGTTTGAATCTGTCTTTAAGGTAGAGTTAGAAAGAAAGAGTCATATAGTAAAAACTGAAACAGCCTGAGAAATAAAAGTTTCCCTTAAACTGAAAATGTTAAGTGCTTAAAGAACCATACCAGTGTTTCAGCCGTGGTTCCCAATTACTGTATTAAACTACAGTATAAAAACTTGTTTCAGTGTGATGATCCATTACAGAGATCATCCTGTTTGTGCAGCTGTAGGTGTAGGTATTCACTGTGATCCGTCGACATAAGCAAGTTCATCTCTGAAAACTGATTTTCCAACAGAATGGAAGTCATCAAATAAAAACACGACAGTATGTTTGTTTTTTTTAGCATTTCTTGTAAATGGTTAAGGTTAATAGTGAGAAAATATTAGATATTAAATTGCTGTTTTCAGCTAATTATTATTATTATTATATTATTATTTCAAAATCTGTTGTAGTAGGTTAATTAATCATTTTAAGGATGCAGATTTTTAGTGTGGCTAAAGTAAAATATTTTGTTTTTGCTCTTTGGTTTCTGTTTGAATTAAACAAGAGATATGACCTGTTGACTAGTGAGTGCTAGACGTACTGGTTAGCTGAGCCAAGCTAGCTGTTTCCTGTCTTAATGCTAAGCTATAAACTATAAAATTAATTGTCTCCTGGCTACAGCTTCATATTTAGCTACAGAGAGATGACAGAGTTATCAACCTTCACATCCAACTAAACAAGAACTCGAATGACGGGAGTTCCCGAAATGTCAAACTTTTCATTTAAGACATAAAAAAATAATATAAAAATATTTGTTTTTTCCAAATAATTTTCCACAACAAACAAAAGTTCAGTTTGCTCAGTTCAGTAAAATTGTATCTACTCCACTTTCTTTCAAAAGTTCAACTACTGGACACAAGATGTCTCCTACTACTTCAATGAAAAATCCATTTGAAGTTTATGTGCACTGGAAGTTTCATGTTGTCACATGACACTTGTGTAAGTCACATATTGGACGGTGACAAGTTGTGATGTCATAAAATCAGCTCAAACAAACAAGTTCCCTGGTGGGTCAAGCAGGTATTGCAACTGGGCCGACATTTCATGTGTTGGTCTAAAGAATCAGGTTATTAATAATTAACTAGTTTATACAGTTGCCACACAAAATACTCATTACCAAGCTTGTGTGATTCAAAGCGTGGACCTGATTCCTGATGATGCAATTTGCCTGTTTATAAGATATCAGCACAATCTGACACAGTCTGCCTTTCAGTCAGTATTTGCAGAGCCGACCCTCCATGTTGGCACCAAATGGTTGCTAGGAGATCTGTGACACTACCGTACATTTTTATAAAGGAAATAGACTGTTATATCTGTCTGCTTTTGATAGACACAGCCCGTCTGGATAAGAGATGAATAGCAGACAAACACGGCAGGAAAACAGCCGACCACGTCACCTCAGTCCTCGGCCGTGGTTGACTTTGCTGCTGACTCGCTCGTACTCTCGCAGACTGCTGAGGAGGCCGATCTTAGTGGTCAGCACCTTGTTGTTAGGAACCTGGTACACCAACTGTTCACCTGGAAACAACACAGGAGGGGTTCAGCCTTTTCTTCCTGTCACAACAAACCTGTTTCTACCAAACACCAGATATATTTTTGAGATACAGATGTAATCTAAATATAGTAAATCACAGGATCCAGATTATGTCCTGTGCTCTCTCTCTCTCTACCTTCTCTGAAGTTGCAGTAGTTGGCCGATGATTTGGTTTCACACCACTTGAGTTTAAAGTCCTCCCTGTGCTTGTTGTGAATCCTCTTCCATCCTCTGCTCTCACAGTAGCTGCTCACTCTGAGGGAAAAGACGACAGGATGAACATGTCAAACGAAAAAATAAATAAAATATAAACCACCTGAATGATGTTTGATGATATATGATGTTAAGAAAGTTTTCAACTCTCTGAAGAAATAGAAAACTTCACATGCTCACATTTTTTTAAATATTTGAAATTCAACACTTTTAAATGAAGGGGACAGGAGAGGTTTGGGAACTGAGGAAATCTAAGATAAAATTAGAAAACTGCAACTCCTGTGCTTCCTTATCTGAGTTGTTTCCACGCTTAGGTTCAGATTATTTATTTTTGTCAATTTCCATTTATTCTACTTATTTAATTAATCGTTTATTTATTTTGTTTGTTTTATTTCTCCTTTCTTTTCAATTGTTTATCTTGGATAATGTTCACATCCCACAGACAATCCTTATACCTTTATATCATCTGTTTTATACCTGCAAATGTACATTCATATAATTTTATAATCCTTTCTTATTATGAAAACAGTTTACTGTATGTGTAATTTTCTTTGGCTCAATAAAACATAATTGAAAGAAAATCCAACAGTTTTATTTCATATTTTTCTATTTACATTTCAGCCCCATTAGTTCCTCCGAAGTAGTAGAAAGGGCCAGGCCCCCGCGGCTCCTCCCTGTCCTTGCCTGGGTAAGAGCAGGTCGATAAGCCCCTTGGGAGGGACCTGCGGACATGTCGCTCCACCGAACACACACCACATATTTTTCCACACACACACACACACACACACACAGAATCATTCATAGATTCACAGACACTTGTGCTCTATCACGTGCATGTCAGTATGTTGTGTTGCTGCCCTTACATGGACACAAGTGTTTTCTGAATGATGCAATGATCACAAACCCACACACCTGACCCTCGAGCTCGGCTCTCTTTCGTCTCCTCCTCCACTCCGCCTTCTGATGTCACTACATACGTGTCACTACGGTTGAGTGACGAAGACTCCTCTTGCCTCAGGCTTTCTGTAGGATGGTTTTCCTCACAGGGAACCTCCACTTCCTCTCTATTTGCTTCCTCATCTTGTTTCCTCTCCAGCCCGGCGTCCTCTCCCTGGCCCTCGCTGCAGGACTCCACCCTGGTCTCAGATGACATGACCTCGAGCTGGAGCAGAGACTGTGGGTCAAAGCGGAGGACAGGTGGACGTCTTCTCGTCTGTAGTGACCCTGTTGTAAGAAATGGAGATCTTCATTAATACATACTGTACATCTTACATCAGATGGTACATGAGATCTGTTTTATTAACCATGAGAAACTCAATGTCCACAGTTTCTTCTCTTTCTACATTATGACCATCACATGCATTCAAAAATACCAAAAAATAATATGATAATAACAACTTTTTGGGTGGTTTGCCGCGGATCCTGGGGCTGAATTGTAATAACTTCAATATCATTAAGTCAGATTTTTAATTTGTTTAATATTTTGATTTATGAACAAATACCTGCAAAACTAATGACGTTACCAACAGCCTCAGCTGTGCTTTATGTTAGCATGGCAAATATTAGCATGCTAACAAACTATGTAGAAATCTGCTATGATTAATATTTTGTCTAACATGGTTTTTCACACATTAAAAAAAAATCAAAAACTGGGTCTGAAGCTTGTGAGAAATCTGGATGAGACCTTGAGCCCCGCCCACCACCTGCTGGCTCCAGGTGGACAGGTGAAAGAGCAGAGAGCATCAAGATGGTGAGAGGAGGAAACATCAGAGAGACTCAGCCACATGTTTGAGCCTCAGTCAGACCCAGACTCAGAGGAGGAGTCTGTTGAGACCAGAACCAGAGACTAGCAGACGGGTCAGAACGGTTAGCTAGTTAGCATCTTTTCAGAACGGATAGCTAGTTAGCATCTCTTCAGAACGGTTAGCTAGTTAGCATCTTTTCAGAACGGATAGCTAGTTAGCATCTCTTCAGAACGGTTAGCTAGTTAGCATCTTTTTAGAACGGTTAGCATAGTTAGCATCTTTTCACAGCGGTTAGTGTAGTTAGCATCTTTTATTATGTTTTCAAGATCTCACAATCTAACAAACAAATTGCTGTTAAATTTCCACTTATTTCATTTCATTATTATTATTTACTAATTTGATTTTCCTCACCATATATTTCTAACTGTCATTTGTATTAATGCTGATTGTGTCGATCAATGTTGTGCTGAGCTCTTAGTTGTTGTTAAAAAAATAACAAAACTCAATAAATATACTTTGGAAACAAAAATGATCACTTATCATAGTCCCATTGTAACTCAATGACCCCATGACCTTTCCACCAGCACCACCATCAGAACAGGCTCAAGACTTTTGTTTGTACATTTTTGTATAGGTCAAATACATTTGTCATTATGATTTCAAAAGAAGACGTCATGTGAAGAAAATGTGTTTTTGTAATAGAAGACAGGAGCTGAACTTAGACCTTATACATTTAGAAACAAAGGGGTTTTACCTGCAACTCCAGTGTCACACACATGAGCAGCCAGACTCCATGAACTCAGTCCACGCTTTTTCTGTCAAACAGCAAACCCACAGACTGAGGGACCGGACTGGACAGAGGCTGAATCACATGGCCTGTCTGAAGTCAGCCGTAGTCTGCCACGCTGTGAGTGAGCAAACCCACCAGACCAAAGTAAACAATCACTGGTTACTCGGGTAATGGGACGCTTAGCAACAGTTGCCTCTTGTGGACTGAATCTTACAACAACAGCAGCTCAAGACAAACTAACTACTCAAGGTTATGTATCCCACACCCACCCCACTTCTAAGTTTAGCTTCATTCAATATTAATTGCCTGTAGGCCTCTTGTTGTGTGAACCCTATGGTAACATGAGAGCAGAGTGTCAATCAAAATGGATTTTCCAGGGTATTATCTCCTGACACAAAAGGTAAAATAATATTTTCTGCCATTTGTTTCTTAAAGTGTCCCAAAAAAAGAAGAAGTGTCCTGGGGACATGTTTTAATGTAGATAAGCTGGTATCAACCTCACATTTTACACACTGGTCGACTGTTTCCTTTGCTTCCCTGTATCTATTACTCCAATAAACCTTCAAACTTTAACAGTTATTTCTCTGTAAGCTTCAGATTCTGTCAGGAAAGTGAATAAATAATTAATTATAAGCACGAAAAGGATCAAAATTAATCCCATTTTCAAAACTCTCAAGTGCAAAATACCTTCAGCTGTAAATTCACTTCTTAAATCCTAAAACCTCCAGATATTATTTTACGTTTTAAAAAAAATCTTTTTACATTAATTCATCTTGCTGAATCATTCTTGGACTCATTAGCTATATGGCAGACATCAACACTAATCATATCGTCTAGTGCCAAATCCAGTAGCAAGTATGCAGTTGAGCAACATAGTATTTGTCTGCTCGCATGGTAAATCCACTAATCACCTTCTGTCTCAGTGATTTGACTCAGGAGGAAACACCCAGGCCCAGCCGCAGTTGGCAATTATGCATAATCTCCCCTCTTCCTCCCAACAGCCCAGTAATTGGGGTGGGTGCATCAATGCAACTGTGTAATTACACATATAGTCAGCTAACCACGAGCAGCTCATACATCTCACACTGATGTAGTTTCAGTGCACAATCACGCCTATAGCAGAGCGCATTCAGAACGCATTCAGAGCAGGTCAGTCAAACTCACCAACAAAATGGCAAAAATGCATGGGTTTACAGGTTAAGGTGTTAAATGCAAGGGTTTATGGGTATAAGAGGAGAGTGGTGTTAGCTGCTGAACAAGCTAAGATGCTAAGATGCCTTAGGTCAAGTTCCAAAACTACATCCAATTACCAAGCAACTTCACAATCCATGTGACCTGTGTCTCAAGCTTCTGTTTGCTTGTAACTGAGTGATATGTACTTAAAACCCAATGAAATAAATAAGTCAACGGTTCCTCCATGGTTCAGATCAAAGACATACAGTAGGTGTCATCGGACCCTGCAGTTATGTGTTGACACACGTCACACGACTAAATTTACCAGAAAGAAGCAACAGTCACCAGACAGTCTTGTCAGTTCAGTCATTTACACACACACACACACACACACACACACGGCTGTAAATGTCCCATTTACTGTGGGTGGCTGAGTGCAAAATGGCAGCGATATGAGAGAGATGTGAGTCCAGCCGTGGCACCCCAGTTATTAGCAGCGGGGGCCTCCCATATTCCTGTTTAACAGAGCTTTGTGTGGAGCCAGCGTCAGCCACACCTTGATAAAAAGCCACCATCTGATAGACACACTGTGCAAAGTGCTGCGTAGGTGGACAAAGAGAACAGGCTTGTTTTACAGCCCTGTCGACCTCATGGTTCACCATCTGCCAAGTGTGTGTTTGTGTGTGTGTGTGTGTGTTTGTATATGAAAATACACGTATTTTGTTGTACTACATGTTTAATGATTAAAATGTTAATTAATAACTTTCCTATTTTGATTTGAGCTCCGTTAATCAAATACTGTTGTGTCACATTTTTTGACCTTTCCTCTCCCCTTTTCTTTATGTCACATAAAATACACTATATCACCACATCACTTCCTGGGAGAAATCAAAAGGATATTCCACATAAGTAATATGTTTCATCAGGCAAACATAACATATTTATCATTATCTAAAATGTATCTGTGTGTGTGTGTGTTTGTGTACCTGTCTGGCTCAGTCTCGGGGCGGTGACACCATAAGGTGTGTGTGTCTTTGGAGACTCGCCCATTCCCATGTCATCTTAACTGCCGTCTGTACCAGGAAGTGCTCAGCAATTACAGGGATGCAGCCTGCAGCAATGGTGTCCCTACACAACCCATTATTTGGAGGGATTCTCCTTGTCAAGGTGTTATAGTGGAAGGAATGGAGTTAAGTTACAATGTAAAGAACAGCTCATCTCAATAGGGTCTCTCTTGCTCTCTCCCGCTATTCATGATTTCTTATAGAGTTACACCGGTAAAGTGGAAGGGGGGTTGTTGCGGTGGGGGTGCGAAACCACGTTCCCAGGGTCTGTATTCACTCATTCCCACTGGTGACAAACGCAAGATGGAGACACAAAGATATTGATTTTAACTAACACTGACTTTAACATGGGAAAATGTACATGATTATTGTCCTCAGATGAAAAATATAATTAAATACATTATTAAGTCAGGCTTGTATTATACTTATAACTCCATTAATGAGGCGTCTGTGTGCTATTTTTGTTGACTTAATTTCTCCACAGGCTTCTATCTGTGTTTTAACACTACTGCAGCAAATCTGAGTGCTGTTTGACAGCGTTTGACATTTTCAGATCCTGATCCAGTTTAATCCCATTTAAGTGATGAGTCATCACAAAACTTAACTTTAAGAAAATGTGTGGATTAAGTGATAAATATCATATAAAAAATCCCTGTATGACTCTTAAGTAAATTAGTCCATGCAGCTTTAGTACGTCAAACGATGAGCTCAAGGAGATGGATGCCCCAGTCTGTGGTCACTGTAAATGCAAAGAAATATGCAGGGTGCTTGTTTTCTGGACGTGATACATACAGATGGCATCCTCCTGGAACAACATTACTCGGGATGTTGGTTACACCCTCTAGAGCTATGAAAAGGAAAAGGAATATTTGATTCTGAAGTGGAAAATGACTCACCGATAACTCAGCAACAGACGGGAACGTGACAGAATAGGGAGAGCTGGTATAGCCGAGTGGAGGCAGAGATGCTCCAGGTTTAGCAAAAAGCCTTAAAATACGTCAACTGAAGAGAAGTGTGCTTAACGCAATGGGCCACTTCACTGGTCAGTACTTCAGAGGTCAGCC